CCCCAAAACCCCAAAACCCCAAAACCCCTCATCATTAAAATCTTAGAAAATCTGATACAAATTAATAAAATTAAGATTTCAACAAAAAAAAGTATCATTTTATTGTGACTGAAAGTAGTTTCATTCTTATTTAAAATCATCATCAGCATCCTACTGTTACAGTTTTTTGCAACCAATAGTATAAAGTATATTATCGAATTTCATTTTGATAAAGCTTAATGTCTGTTTTGAATAGGATAATGAATGATATGCTAATGACTAAGACCAGTAATATGGATGAAGTAATCTAAAAAAGCTATGTACCAGCTTTCTTGCTTTCTTCCCCTCAGGGAACATTATGCTCATAACTTTGATTGAGTATTATCTAATTAACCTTGGGGAGAAATATGGACCACCTGGATGAGAAAAATCATTAAAGGTGTTTAGGATCTTATTTTATGTGACTTTGCTCATATAGGGTAAATCTATTCAAATATATTTTGAGTATTAAATGCTTACCTTTTAGTAAAATAAATTTCTTCATAATTTTTAGTAAAGAATCAGACTATTGCATAAATCTCATGAGTTTAAGCGTCTCACTAATAAGTATATCAATAAAAATGATTCTCGACTAGAATCTGAGCTCTTTTCTTTTGATATCATCCGTATTATTGTCTTTTTTATTGTTTTATAACGAACTAATCTCATCCTGCTCATCTTAGTCATTTTCCTAATTTTGATTATTAGTTAAAACAGTTTAATCCAATTCATCCTCCACGCCTGATGATTGAGAGCTGAGTTCATCATCAAAGTACTACGAGTTATGATTGCGATAGATATGCAGCATTATATAACTGTACTCAATCTCTTTTTGTGCCCTCTCTTCCTCAGTAAGTGTATGCTCATAGAATTTTTGGTATATATCTGATAACTTGTAAATATCCTTAAGGATCTTTTCAAACAAATGACAATCCTGATTTTATATGTAGTTCTATCGAGAAGTTTCTATATTACTATCAAAGCTATCTTCATAGTAGTAGAGGAAATACTTGCAGAAAACCATCATGAACTCTTCGAATAGTTTTTGACATGCTGCTGAGTCTTGGAAAAACCTTGATTTAAAGATAAAAAGCTTCAGCTGGTTATAAACTACTTTGAAAGTATAGTTTTCATTTTTTACATCATCCCTAGAGGATATTACGTCAATAAAAATGAGATATATAAAAAAAACTTACTCAAATAATCTTTCTACTCCTTTAAGCAGAAATATCATTGTCTTCTAGGTACCCTCCTTTTCTTGAAGCTTGTTTCCAAGACATTGCTATCCCTCTTAAGTCTCTTGATCTTCATTTGGATCTATTTAGGCTTGTCTTTGCAAAGCACTTCTAATAGGTAGCTTATGATCCAGGAAAATCTAATAGAATAGTATAGCAAAAGCTTGAGAAAATGAAGAAGTTGCTCTCAAGTTAATAGTTTTTTGTAAGGTTTCCTTTGCATGCCTATAATTCTCGTATAGAAACCAAGAAACTCCTTCGTAATAGTACTATTACCTAAAAATGCTTAATATTCCAAAATATTTACTCTTGTGTGCAACCTTGAATGTGGAGATCAACTATATATTTGAAAATTAGAATAAAGAAATAGAAGAATAGCATTAGTACTTTTAACGATAGGAGCAATTGTTGTAATCAGATATTGAAAAAGCTCATCAATTTTTCGCTTCTTTATTTTTGAACTTGTCTGATTAACACAGTCAAATATTGTTGTGTTTATCTAAGAAATAAGATATATAAGCATGAACTTACATAATCTATGATATTCAGGAAGCTTCCCTTAGAATCTACATCATACTGATAAGAATGTGGAAATTAGTTTGAAAGTTCTTCATTGAAGTTGAATTTATCTTAACTGAATTCCTCTTATTTATCATGCTCTCTGTAAAGAATAGATAAATCTCTATTATCATTAATACTCATAAAGTTTTTTGTGGAACATATTTAGCACGCTCAATCCTACGGTGCTTTACGTTTGATTCATTTTGATTTTAATTAATCTTGAATATTGCAAATACTATTTCAGAGGGGTTTTGGGGTTTTGGGGTTTTGGGG